AAAAAAACCCCAAACCCACTGCTGTCTTGTCGATTCCGACTCACAGCGACCCAACAGGACAGAGGAGAACTACCCCACAGGGTTTCCAAGGAGTGGCTGGTGGATTCGAACCGCCAACCTTTTGGTCAGCAAGTGTTTAACCACTGCTCCACCAGGCCTCCTTTACATCGAAAGCATCTCCCAGAGGTTATGTATCCAGCCCAAAAAATGCCAGGAGCGGGAGAGAAAGGGGCAAGTCTCCTGCCACGCAGTATGATAGTTGATCGACTTGGGCCACGTGGCCACTGTTTTGTGGTCCTGGCTCTGACTGAAATGACAACAACCCAATCAGAGCCACCTGAGAAGCACGTGCGAGATGACAAAGTGACTGCATCTGTGCGGGGCGTTTCACTTATTCAAAGACTTTTCACATACGTTTTTCATCTTCTTTCCCCAACATGTACGCTCGGTGGGTTAGACAGGTGACAGGACGCTATTATTACGTTTTTACAATGAGGATGCTAAACATCTTTAGGCCCAGATGCCACCACCAGCGCAGAGTGAGACCCAAGTGCACTCTTTCCTCTCAGAGTTCCTAAAGAACACGGTGTTCTTCCCCAGTCTGCCTCGGAGGGAAGTGATGTACCTGTCCATGTCCTCTGCCCTCCCGGCCCCCACTTCCAACCTCCACAGCCCAGCCTGGCCTAACTGCCTAATTAGCCAGAGACTAAGACCATAGTAAAAGAAGCCCTGATGGCGAAAATCGTTACGTGCTTGGCTGCTAACCTAAAGGTCGGCAGTTTGAACCCAACAGCAGCTCTGTGGGAGAAAGACCTGGTGATCTGCTTCCATAAAGACTGAAGCCTAGAACACCCTATGAGGCAGTTCTATTCTGTCACATGAGGTCACTATGAGTCAGAATTGATTCGGTGACACCCAAAAACCACCACCACAAGGGCACAGTAAACCTCGAGAATGAGTCCTTAAGATCCCAATATGCTGATGGACAATCTCCAGGACTGCAAGGCAGGCGACACGGGTCAACCTCAGCACCCTCATAACGCCTTCACTTGGAATCACCGCCACAGTCTCTCAGTTAGCTCTCCCCCGTTTCCTCTCCAGGACCCAGCCAAATGCCTGACGAATCTTCCAAAAATGCCAATTCAATCACATCATTCTCCTGTTCCAAAATGCGCCTTAGCTCCCAATGAGTTCACCAAAGGACTCATCTGCCTGACATTTAAGACCCGCCCAGATCAGACTCAACTGTAATCTTATGTTCTTCTAAAATAATAATTACAACAATACTCATAATAAACATAACTGCCACTTACTGAGTACTTATTACAAGCCAGGCACTGGGCAAAGTGCCGGGCATATTCCGCAGACACTGCTAGCTGTCTACCAGGATCCACACTTTCGAGACAATGGAACCTAGATCTGTTCAGGGGGCTATGGGCCCAGCCCAGACAATGGATCATGACTGGCCTAAGCCAGTGACTTTCAAAGTGTGGTCACTGGACCAGCAGCATCAGCAACCCCTAGGAACTTGTTAGAAATGTAAGTTCTTGGGTCCCACCCCAGACCTACTGAATCAGAAATGCTGGGGTGGGGCCCAGCCATCTGTGGCTTAAATCCTCCAGAGGATTCCGATGCCCCCGAAAGTTGGAAAAGCACTGGTCTAAGCCAGTCCTGACAATCCTGATCCCCATTTCCTACCTTAGGGGTGGCTTTCTGACTCAGTTCTGGCTAATGAGGGTGGGGTGTTCTGGGAAAGCTTTTATTTTCTTGATAAAAGGGAAGAGAGGCCTTCCCGACAACACTTAGCACATAAAATCACAACCTCCACTGTGCCCCAAACTTTGTTTTCCATCTTCTTACCAAACTTTATTTTTTCTTTATAGGACTTACGGCCTCTTGACATATATATCTCTTTATTTGTTTATTGTGTCTCCTCCCACTAAGATGCACTCCAGAGGGAAGGGACTGTGTCAGCCTTACCCACAACCATATCCCCAGGTCCTAGAACAGTGTCTGGCAAATTGCGAACACTGATGTATGTTTACTGAATGAACGAGTACAGCTGTCACTGCTCTTCCTTCTCTTTCCTGCAAGGAATAAGGAACTGATGGCTGTAGCTGTAGCAGCGACCTTGTGATCATGAAGAAAAGGCCAAGAGACTCTCAGAAAAATTGACTCTGATGTTGTTGAGCCACCAAACCAAAACTAGCAACACCTACCTCTGGGCTTCTTTTTAAGTAAGAAAAATAAACCCCCATTTGTTTAAGCCACAATGGTCAGGTTTTAATTACTAGCAGCTCCACACATTCCTAACAGACACACATGTATTCATCACTTCATCTTGGCAACCATTTCAGCTGAAGGGTAAGTGCAGCCTAATTTATAAATGAGGAAACTGAGTCTCAGAGCAGTTAAGTAATTTGTACAAGATTTGTATGCTTGTAACTGCTGCGCATGTAACTACTAAGTGGTTTTCCTAATTTGAAATGCTTTCCTCACTACCTAAATCCAATTCATCTTTTAGTGTAAGCCTCTGTCAGGCATCTGGAGTGCTCCAGCCCACCAATAGCTAGCTGCCTTCTGGTAAGCCTGTAGAGTCTAGGAATTGTAGGTTATTTGTCTTCTTTTTCTAATCAGACTGCTAAATCCTTGTGGATGTACCCATCATATCACATTTTATATGTCTTATGCATTCCCTTCCTCATATACTTGCTGACAACAACTTCATGCTGAGTTAGATGCCACTAGCTTATTGATCAACCTTGGCTCAGACATTTAACCTTTCTGTTCATCAGTCTTCCCACCCGAAAATCAGCGTATCAGCCTGGCAAGTTCCAGATGTAGAATACAGAAAGAACCTTGCTTAGTATCACAGAGCTAAGAGATGATTCAGTTTGTACAGTACAGAAGGTTGTTAGTGCTCCCAGGAACAAGATGGCATAAACTTGACCATCGGCAATGTCTGTGACAAAGAGCCCCCTCAAAGGGCACAAGCATCCAACAGTCACCATCTTACCGAGCATACAAGCTTAGACACACAAACAAAATGGCCCCAGCCCTGTCCCTGAAGTGAGAGGAACTTGGAAAAAAGAGAATCAATTGTTCCATTGAGAAAATTATCCTCCAATCTAATGACGCAGACATGGCCCAGGAACAGCCTGCGATGACGCTCAAAGTGGACAGTAATGTACATGTCCCCAAGAAAGGCATCAAAGCCCTTCCTTCTTTGGGAAGGAGGAGCCGGTTTTTTACACCATTCAGGAGGCTCCGAAGAAAGCTGAGAGCTGACAGAGCAGCAGAGAGCTGAAGCCACATGAAAGGTGAGAATAACTGAGGAGTGGCTGTAAAGGGCAAAGTCGATGGGGAGACTGGGTCTACTGGCCCTTAAGTGGGGCTGAACTTGTAAGATCCACTAGGTGGGGCTGGGCTGAGTGAGCCACAGCATGACCCTGTCTGCGGAAGGGTAAGTGCTGCCCTCCACTGGTCGGCCTGCAGAACACAGCCTGCTGGGGCGAGCAGAGGGGCTTGGAGCATCCCTCAGATGCAGCCATGGGGCCATTTCTCCTACAGCTCCACATCCGGGTCTCATTCTTTTTGTTGAATTTGACTCACTTTGATAGATAGAAGGAGCCAAAAAGGGGGGAGAGGGGGTGTTGGGGATATTCTTCAGCTGGCAAACAAAGAAAAGGGATGTACTTTTTTTGTATTTTAGAGGGTATGGAAGCCAGAAGGATGGAAACTTAAGAGCTGAGATTCTGAAAGTTCTGCGGTTCCAATCAGTTTTTTTTCAGTGTACATAAATAAAGTTTTACTGGAACACAGCCATGCTCATTTGTTTACCCATTGTCTATAATGCATTCAATACATGCTACAGTGGCAGAGTTGAGTAGTTGCAACAGAGACCTCATGGCCTATAAAGCCTAAAATATTTACTATCTGGTTTGGTCTTCTATAGACAAAGTTTGCTGACCTCTGCCCTAAACCACTGTGCTGAAAGCCTGGAGCCAGACTTCCTTGCTAAACTCAAGGACAATATGGAGAACGATCGGTGATACCAGCTTTACTAAACCAAAACCCATTGCCGTTGAGTCGATTCTGGCTCATAGCAACCCTACAGGACAGAGCGGAACTGCCCCCAACCAGATTTTAATCTAGTTTCCCATATCTTTTTTTTAAAAATTGTGCTTTAAGTGAACGTTTACAGTTCAAGTCAGTTTCTCATACAAAAATTTATACGCACATTGCTATGTGACCCTAGCTGCTCTCCCTATGTGACAGCACACTCCTCCTTTCCACCTGAGATTTCCCGTGTCCATTCAACCAGCTCCTGACCCTGTCTGCCTTCTCATCTCCCCTCCGGACAGGAGCTGCCCATTTAGTCCCATGTGTCTACTTGAGCTGAGAAGCGCTCTCTTCACGAGCATCACTCTATGTCTTATAGTCTAGTCTAATCTTTGCCTGAAGAGTTGGCTTTGGGAATGGTTTCAGTTCTGGGCTAAAATAGAATCTGGGGGCCATGTCTTCTGGGGTCCCTCCAGTCTCAGTCAAACCAGTAAGTCTGGTCTTTTTACTAAAATTTGAGTTCTGCATCCCATTTTTCTCCTGCTCCGCCAGGGACTCTCTGTTGTGTTCCCTGCTGGGGTGGTCACTGATGGTAGCTGGGCACCATCTAGTTCTTCTGGTCGCAGGCTGATGGAGTCTAGTTTCCCATAGCTTAACCTTTAGGTAAGGCTCCTTGTGTGGCACAAACAGTTAAGCGCTTGACTACTAGTCAAAAGGTTGGTGGTTCGAGAGAGATGCCTCGAAAGACAGACCTGGCAATCTGCTTCCAAAAGGTCACAGCCTTGAAAACCCTATGGTGCAGTTCTATTCTGCCCGCATGGGGTCGCCATGAGTCGGAATGGACTCAACGCCAACTAACAACAACCTTTAGGTGGGAGGGCAGAAGTTTTCAAAACCAACCCCCTCCCTCTCTCCCACTCAAAGCCGCCATCACTCACTCTCAGACATCCTTGCTCGGCAGTTCTGGGCTGGGCAACTTGGCCACCCTGGCCCGTTTGCTGAGTTCTTCACCAGGTGGCTCCTCAGCTGCTTCCAGCTTGCGTTTGGGGGACGCTGGGCCACTGGGTAGTGGTCTTGGGCCTGTAGGGAAGTGTGTCAAAGTGTCACACAGACTGTTAGAGACAAGATGACCCCAAATGTGCAGGAGCAGTGCTTTAGGGCTGGGGGCCTGCTCGCTGATGGGATGCCACAGAGTACTCCTCTGACTGGCCCCTTGGCCTTCCTTCAGCAGTGACCTTGCCTAGAAGTGCCTGTGAAGAGGACCAGGCCTGCTGGCAGCAGGGCCAGCTTTTGGGTCCTAAGTCTCACAGGCCCTAGGCCAGAGCCTCTCTTGGCCCATCTGCTGTCCTTCCTCTAAGGTAAGGGACTCCCTCTGAAGCCCTGCGATTGGCTCCCTCCCCAAGCAGGAATGTGCAGCGCCTCGCCCAGACCCAGCTTGGCTGGGCAAATGGGAGGAACCCTGGGAGTTCTGGGAGTCTCATGTTACCGACCTTCCTCCCAAAGCTGGAGGATGTTAAAGATACAGCAAATCTGTCTACTTTTCTCTTTCCTGCTACCACCTTGGCCCCCACTGCCATTGCCTGCCTAGACAATGACAGTAGCCTCCTTCTAGCCTCCCTGTGCTCACTCTTGCCCCACACTGTCCACTCCCCGCACAGAAGGCAGAGTGAGACTTTCAGGACATAAATCAGATCATGCCCCACCCTGCTGACCACCTTACTGCCTTCTCAGGGCATGACGACAGGATCCTAATCCTCCCCGGGGCTCTGAGCCCTGGCCCATCCTCCTCCTGCCTGCCTCTCAGCCTCAGCCATCCTAGCTCCTCCCTCAGGACATTCTAGCCACACTGGCCTCCTTCACTTCCTCGAACGGGCTAAGCTAGTGCTTGTCTCTGGGTTTTTCTTGTTATTCCTGTTGCCTGGAATGTTCTTCCTCCAGTTTGTGGAAGGTCTGTCTCCTGCTCATTCTCTGCTCAGAGAGGTGTTCCCTGACTACCCGAATCTATAGTAAGCCAGAGTAACCCCTAACTCCCTCCCCAGTCACGCTCTAACAAACCACTCAATTTTATTTTTCCCCAAAGCATTTGGCATGAAATTATCTTCCTTGGTCCCTGTCTCAGGGAATCTAAGCTCCACTAGGGACAGGACTTGTTCTGGCTTCTATCCTCAGCCCTCAGTGAGTGAAGCAGGGATGCTTCATAGCACTGTGGGAGGCACACAAGCCACAGTGAGGCTAGCTGGCACTCACCTGCACTGCTCATGCTCCCAGCCTGGCTCAAGCTGGGCTCAGCCACAGGGTTACTGAGGTCTTCCGCACAGGAAGGGACAGACGCCAGGAGACCTGGGAGAGAGGCGAGGGAGCCGTCAGAATGTAATCTGACAGGGCTGCAGAGGGCTGCGGGGCAGGAGACAAGGGGGAGGGCTGGCCCATGACACCGAGGTGCCATCTCTTCCCATCACCCCACAACTACTCAGGGAGGCCCAGCCTGTAGACTCTGAGAAATCATGTCAACTTAATAGCCTGGAAGACAGCACTTAGCCTCCCTTTGCAAATATCTGGAAATCCCCACCTGCCCCCCTCTGAGCCCACAGGTGCTATCCTTCCCTTCAGTGAGCTAGGGGGTGGGGTGGAGGTAGGGAGTAGCAGCTGCTTACAGAGCCCCCGGTAGCGGGAGAGCTGCTGGTAGATCTGCTTCATTCGCTCAATGTTGAGCCGGCTGGTCTCGGCATGGTTGACGATGGGCCGTGGGTAGTCCACGCCAATGATGCACTTGGCTGCCTTCTGAATTGACTCGGGTGCATTCCAGGGCTCGTAGATGTAGCGAGAGGGGAACCCTTTCAGTTTGGGCAGGTATCGCCTGAAAGATACACACCAGATGACCTGTCAGCACACCTGGACCCACCTTCAATGGGACAAGGGTCTCCCACCCGAAGAGGAGGCTGGAGTGGTCAGAAGCCAGAGTGTCTGGTCTGCAACCTCACCTGATGTAGTCTCCACTGGGGTCTGTGCGGCGGCCAAAGCCCACGGGGCAGTAGCAGTGGAAGAACTGCTGGAAGAAAGCACTGCAGGACAGCCACATCCAGCTGCCTGCATTCACGCTGAAGTCTGCATCCAGGAGCAGCTCGTCAAATACCTGCAGGGGTGGGTGGGGAATCAGCATCCTTGGGGACTCATGGCCACAGTGGTTTCCAAGTAACCACAGTCCCCAGGGGAGAAAAGCCCAAGCTCTCTGCTGAGGGCAAGCCAAGAAGGGTTTGGAGGGAATCTCCTGGACCCAGGATCCCAGCCCACCCCCCAGCCCAGAAGGGGGCTGCCCTTTGCTGGGCCTGACCAGAGGGGACAGACGGCTTCCCGCTGCGAGGGCACTCACCCGGACCCCGCTCTCCCAGCTGACCCAGAGGTCCCCACGGGTGAGGAAGCAGGCCACGGCATGCCGGGCCAGATGGTGGATCCAGCCCTCCTGCCTCAGTTGGGTCATGATGGCATCAATCCAAGGGAAGCCTGTTTTGCCCTCGGCCCACTTGGCCAGGGCCTCTGGGTTGCGGTCCCAGGGAATCTGGATGCAGATGGGGTTCCCCTCCATGCGGTCAAACCTGGGGTTGTTGGTGGCTGCTGTGTAGAAGAATTCTCGCCACAGGAGTTGCCCAAACAGGGAAAGAGGGGGTGTACTGTTCCGTTTCACCTGAGGGGTTGGGGGAGCACGTGGTTACAAACACTTGCCCAGCTCTTGGCGCCACGTTGCGTACGTCTTTCCCACAGAGGAATCTGGAGCCTCCACTTCATGGCCCCAAACCACCTAGACCTGTGGAAGGACTACCCCCTCGAAGCAGCAGCAGCACTGCACGCCTGCAGATTAAAACCCCCTCTTGGCAATGACCCCAGTCCCTGGCTGTGCTACTGTCCTGAGAAGTAAGGTGGCTGGAGAGAGTCAGGCAGTGGAATGGGATATCCCGGCAGGATTCTGTGTTAGGAACCAGATGTTCCAAGACTAGGCCATGATCCTAGTCCTCAGGGTTCCCTGCCTGGCTCCATTCTCTAGAAAGTCAAAGGGAGTTTTCCCATGAGCAGGCATAAAAAATGCTCAGTCTAAATTCTGATTAAATAAGTTATATACAACAGCTTAAATCTGGGGGTGTGAGGGAATTAAAAGAGATCAGGCCTCCAAGTAAATAACGATTTTCTTAAAATCACAAGACGACCCACCGAAGTGTCAAAGCCACCCCATGCTGATGTTGGCACAAAATTCTGATGCTGGCACTGATGAGAAAATGACACTACAGACTGTAGGCACAAGGATGATCTGAAGAGTGTGAATAGGCAGCCCTCTCTCCTTTGGGGATGCAGGAACAGAGGGTTACTTGTCTCTTTGGCTGCGTACAGCCCCTCTGAGCATTTCCTCCATTGCTGACGGCAACAGCAGCTTCTGGACTGTTTTTAATGCTCTGGTGCAGTGCCCTACTTGGTGGCTGGCTCCTCAGCCTAGGCCTGGCTCCAGACTCACCCTTCTTGCCTTTTACCCTGAGTACTTTGCCCCCATCCACCTGCAGCCAGCAGACCTGCCACCTCTAGGGTCACACCCAGAGGCCTGCTTTTCTGCCTGTCCTTCTGCTCTGCAGGATGTGCTCGGCTCTGCCAACTCTTGGATAGGGGCTCTCCTCACCTTCTCTGGGCTAGATGCCCACTTAAACACCTCCAGGATGTACAACCCAGCCCCCTTCCCATTCCTAGGACCCTTCTCAGGCCCTGGCCCACTAACTGCAACTGAGAGCAGGGGCGTGCTGCCCTCACTCTGCCCTTACCTTTTTATATAGGTCCCACAGGCGGTAGTAGAACAGGCGGCAGGAGAGGCAACCGAAGCGCAGGTAGGGGCTGAGGCCTGTGGGGCTGGCCAGGAGGGAGTTGGCATTCATTCGGGGTCTCTCATAGTTGGCAACCCAAGCCTACAGCAGAAAGAGAAGCGGAAGATAGGAAAGGCCTGAGAAAGCCTGCTGGCTTCCTGGTATGACTCCCAACCAGGGCCCAACCTCAGCTCACGAAAGTGGTCAGTGTTTGTCTTCCAGGCCTCCCATTTCCTCCACTGTCCTCTCAACTAGCACTTCCTTCCTGCATTCCTTCAGGACTCCAGGGCCTCTGACTGCCTTTCCAGACAGGCTTTCCAACCAGGTCAAGGCTCCCCATTCCTCCTGCTCCCCTCCTGTACACACACTCTCCTGTGTTAGGATATCCCCTTCCCACTGGCATTTCTTATGCTAATTGTGCATATGCCAAGTTCAAGCTGAAGCTGAAGAAAATTAAAACAAGTTCATGAGAGCCAAAGTATGATCTTGAGTATATACCACCAGAATTTCGAGACCATTTCAAGAACAGATTTGACGCATTGAATACTAATGATGGAAGACCAGACAAGTTGTGGGGTGGCATGAAGGACATTATACATGAAGAAAGCAACAGGTCATTAAAAAAGAAAGAAAAGACTAAAATGGATGTCAGAAGAGGCTCTGAAACTTGCTCCTGAACGTACAGTAGCTAAAGCGAATGGAAGAAATGATGAAGTAAAAGAGCTGAACAGAAGATTTCAAAGGGCAGCTAGAGAAGACAAAGTAAAGTATTATAATGAAATGTGCAAAGACCTGGAGTTAGAAACCCAAAAGGGAAGAACATGTTTGGAATTTCTCAAGCTGAAAGAACCGAAGAAAAAAATCAAGCCTCAAGTTGTAATACTGAAAGATTCTATGGGCAAAAAATTGAACGATTTAGGAAGCATCAAAAGAAGATGGAAGGAATACACAGAGTCACTGTACCAAAAAGAACTGGTGGACATTCAACCATTTCAGGAAGGTAGCATACGATCAAGAACAAGCAGTACTGAAGAAAGAAGTCCAAGCTGCACTGAAGGCATGCAAAAATCAAGGCTCCAGGAATTGATGGAATACCAACTGAGATGTTTCAACAAACGGATGCAATGCTGGAAGCGCTCACTCTTCAGTGCCAAGAAATTTGGAAGATAGCTACGTGGCCAACTGACTGGAAGAGATCCATATACATGCCTATTCCAAAAATGGTGATCCAATGGAATGTGGCAATTATCGAACAATATCATTCATATCACATGCAAGTAAAATTATGCTGAAGATAATCCAAAAACAGCTGCAGCAGTACATCGACAAGGAACTGCCAGAAATTCAAGCTGGATTCAGAAGAGGACGTGGAATGAGGGCTATCATTGCTGATGTCAGATGGATCCTGGTTGAAAGCAGAGAATACCAGAAAGATGTTTACCTGTGTTTTACCGACTATGCAAAGGCATTTAACTGTTTGGATCATAACAAATTATGGATAACATTGTGAAGAATGGGAATTCCAGAACACTTAATTGTGCTCATGAGGAACCTGTACATAGAACAAGGGGCAGTCATTCTAACAGAACAAGGGGATACTGCGTGGTTTAAAGTCAGGAAGGGTGGGCATCAGGGTTGTATCCTTTCACCACACTTATTCAATCTGTATGCTGAGCAAATAATCTGAGAAGCTGGACTATATGCAGAAGAATGTGGCACCAGTATTGGTGGAAGACTCATTAACAACCTTGCTTGCTGAAAGTGAAGAGGACTTGAAGCACTTACTGATGAAGATCAAAGGCTACAGTCTTCAGTATGGATTACACCTCAACATAAAGAAAACAAAAGTCCTCACAACTGGACCAATAAGCAGAACTATGATAAATGGAGAAAAGACTGAAGTTGTCAAGGATTTCATTTTACTTGGATCCACAATCAGTGCCCATGGAAGCAGCAGTCAAGAAATCAAACATGATGTACTGCATTGGGCAAATCTGCTGCAAAAGACCTTTTTAAGGTCTTAAAAAGCAAAGATGTCACTTGGAGGACTAAGGTACACCTGACCCAAGCCATGGTATCTTCAATTGCCTCATATGCATGTGAAAGCTGGACAATGAATAAGGAAGACCAAAGAAGAATTGATGCCTTTGAATTATGGTGTTGCTGAAGGATACTGAATATACCATAAAAAAAAAAAAAAAAAACCCGTTGCCATTGAGTCAATTCCGACTCATAGCGACCCTACAGGACAGACTAGAACTGCCCCATAGGATTTCCAAGGAGCAGCTGGTGGATTTGAACTGCCAACCTTTTGGTTAGCAGCTGTAGCTCTCAACCACTGCACCACCAGGGCTCCAGAATATACCATGGACTGCCAGAAAAACAAACAAATCTGTCTTGGAAGAAGTACAGCTAGAATGGTTCTTAAAAGCGAGGATGGTGAGACTTCGTCTCACATACTTTGGACGTGCTACCAGGAAGGACCAGGTCCTGGAGGACATCATGCATGGTAAAGTAGAGGGTCCGCAAAAAAAAGGAAGACCATCAACAAGATGGATGATACAGTGGCTTCAACGATGGGCTCAAGCACAGTAACGATTGTGAAGATGGCGCAGGGCCAGGCAGTATTTTGTTCTGTTGTACACAGGGTCGCTATGAGTCGGAATCGACTCGATAGCACCTAACAACAACAACATGCTAATTCATACTAAGGTGATACCTAGATTCACAGGACACTTTGAGAATCTGTGTTTTAAAACACTAACCCTCGACTCAAAAGAATAAATTTCTCATTATGACTATATGTTGGAGACATTATACATTATGACTATATGTTGGAGACTCATAGGTAGCCACCTATTTCAACTGTTTGAAAGCCAGCCTTACCCAAATGGGGGATTCACATTTCCTTTTGTGCCAGGGACTACACTAGCCAAAAAAATAATCTACTGCTGTCGAGTCGATTCTGACTCATGGCGACCCCATGTGTGTAGAGTAGAACTGCTCCATAGGGTTTTCTTGGTTGTAATCTTTACAGAAGCAGATCTCCAAGCCTTTCTTCCATGGCACCGCTGGGTGGGTTCAAACTACCAGCTTCTAGGTTAGTAGCTGAGCACCAAGGCATTTCATATATATATATGTTATCTTACTTTAACCTTCGCAGTAGTCCTCCTACTTGGTAAGTATCGTTACTCTAAAGTTACAGCGGAGAAAACCGAGGCACTGGGTGGGTAAAACATCTGCCTAAGGTCACGGAACAAAAAGCCATGGAGCCAGGATTTGAACGCTGTGCTCACCCTACTAGTTCATGCTAGCAGAATGTGAGATGGAGACAAGAGCAAACGATGAGGTCCACGTCCTTGTCCTCACTGCTATTTAATTTGTGTATGATTTTGAACAAGTTATTCAGTCTCTCAGCTACTTCTCTGTTAAACAAGAACATTTCCCATCTCCTGGGGATAAAATAAAATGACAAATATGAAAGAATTCCAAAAGCATTACACAAACTCTATAGTTATAAAGAAGAAAGCAAAAAGGTTTCTAACCCGTAATCTGTTGCCGCCGAGTTGATTCCAACTCATAATGACCCTACAGGACAGAGTGGAACTGCCCCATAGCGTTTCCAAGGAGCAGCGGGTGGATTCAAACTGCTGACCTTTTTCATTAGCAGCTGAGCTCTTAACCACTGCGTCACCAGGGCTCCAAAAAAAAAGGTTTCTACGTTCCAGAAAAAAAAAAATCTCTATCTCAGGCCCTGCTCTAGTCACCAGGGGCCCCCTAGGTTGATGCTGCATTACGGGTATCCAGGGACTTCTCATTGCTCTCAACAGGGGCTGGGAAAGGAGAAAACTCTCAACCCATTCCTGGGGACCAACACTGTCATGTCTGCGGCCATTTGAGATATACGGATGGTCTTTTATCAGCAGTTGCCACTGGTGTAGTGCTTTACTGTCATAAGTCACAGTTACGTGCTTGCTTTCCTTTGAGCTTAACAATTCTCTGAGGCAGTGTTTATCATTACCTGCTTTTGAAAATGAGGAAACCAAGCTCAAAGCGTTAGGTGATTCTCCTGTGGTTACAAAGACGATAAGGGGCAGGCTGGGCTGAACTTGGGCTTCTGATGCCAGATGCCAGTCTCTCTCCATGACATCTCATAACTGTATTTCCTCGTTGTTCACTCCTGACACTCTCCCTTTCTCTCCATGTGACTATTTCATCAACTTCACACCCTCCTCAAAACTCCGTCCGTACTGACCTTCATCAGGTGACTTTGCTCCCTCAGAAAGGAAACGGAAGACATCAAGTGGAAACACCTCAACTTTCAGCCACCAAATCCACAAACTCACCTGCGTCCACACCTCCTCCTCCTCCTCCTCCTCCCTCCTGTGACTCTGTCCAAGACCACCTGACTGCAGGGCCCTCCCCTCTTCCTTCTCTCTCTTGCACATTCAATCTCTCCCTCTTTACAGTTTCCATTCCGAGAACACAGGAGAAATTATTTTATTTTTCTGCTTGGAAAACAAAAACTTCTGGTAACCCTGTGGGCCTCTACACGTGGGCCCTCTCTCCTCCCTTCACAGCCAACCCCTCTCCATTTCCCCACCCCTACCTCCAGCTTCTAGCCACCCCAGCATGGCTTCTGCCTTCACTCAGCCAAACTGGCTCCCACCAAACGCTGAGCCATCTGAGCAGGGACATAAAAGATTGTGACTTTAAGGACCAGTTGATAAGTCAGCTGCAGGGGCAGGAAACTAGGAGCTCTCCACAGCCATGAGAACCTCCTCTGCTTCTCTAGCCCCAGGGGGCGAGGCCATGGGGCATAGTTGGGAAGTACCTGTGGGGCCCCTTTCCTTCCTGTTGCCGAGTCCCGCTTCATGGGAGGTGGGCCATTTGTTCTGTGTCCAAGCAAATGGAAAGCAAAGCCCTGGAGGAGGCTCAGCAAAGTGGGGATACATGTATACACAACATAATCTCATGTACGTCAGTGACCAGATACCCTCTGAGTAAGGAGAACCTGCCCATGGACAGGAAGAAAGCAATCTAGCATAAGCTTTAGAAGCACACAGAACAAGGTCTTGCTTTACTACTTACTAACAGTGTGAGCTCAGGCAAGTTACTCAACTTCTCTAAGCCTCAATTTCCTAATCTTTAAAATGGAGAGCTGGACAATGAATAAAAACCCAAGAAGGATTGATGCCTTTAAATTATAGTGTTGGCGAAGAATATTGAATATACCATGGACTGTCAGAAGAATGAACAAATCTATCTTGGAAGAAGTACAGCCAGAACGCTCCTTAGAAGTGAGGATCGCAAGACTTTGTCTCACATACTTTGGACACGTTATCAGGAGGGACCAGTCGCTAGAGAAGGAAATCATGCTTGGTAAAGTAGAGGGTCAGTGAAGAAAAGGAAGATCCTCAGTGAGACAGACTGACACAGTGGCCACAACAATGAGCTCAAGTATAACAGTTGTGAGGGTGGCGCAGGATGGGGCAGTGTTTTGTTCTGTTGTACACGGGGTCACTATGAGTCGGAACCGTTTCGACAGCACCTAACACCAACAACAAAACGGAAAATTGTAACAGTGACCTAGCTGCTATTGTTATTATTATCACTGTCAGGAAGATTTTCATTTTCCCACCAGTCGGAGCTATGAGGCACTAAAGGACATGCACCTGACTCCACATCCCTGCTGCCTGGGTGTCAGCACCCAGTTCCCAGGGCTCAGAAAAGGATGCCCATACCTTCCGTTCCAAGTGCTTATCCAGGCGGGCCATAGCTTCTGTCTCTCCTCCTTGCCAGACAGCTGGACCAAGTCCTTCAGTGGGGAACCCTGCAAGAGGACGTGCAGGTCACAGCACTGCAGGCTGGGCGGCTCAGGGGCAGCTCAGCACATCATCACACAGTGCTCTGCTGTGTGTGTGGGAACCAAATCACAGTGTCCTTGGTGCTACCAGGGCTGAGACACCCTTAGTATTTCGGTGTGCTCTAGGTCATCCTGGTTCTCTTCCCACAGTTACTATTTCCCCTCTTTTCCCTTGTCTTCCCCATCCCAGACGCTCATCCTTCCAGGCAGGTAAGAGCAATCCTGGACTTTCTGCCCTTTAAGGTTGACTGGCAAAAACAGTGCTTTTCAGGTAAGAAGGTTCCCTTTGTTCAGATCAAAAAATGGCAGGGAGGTGAAGGGGGAGGGAGAAAGAGTGTGGTCAGCAACCCTAGAGGCTGATAGACCCCCTTTCGACAGAGGCACTGCTAGTTATCCTGGCGTTGAGAAGCCCACTGATGCCAGCACCAGACTGGGCCTACACAGTCTGAGAGGGGGAAGTAGTAAACTAGAGGCATGACCTAGAAACAGCAGGTTACATTCATGAGTATGTATGGAGAAAGACTGGAAGGACATACACCAACATTGGCAGTGGTTATCTCCGGTGGGTAGGGAATTGTGACTGTCACTTCCATTTCTGTTTTTTCTCAACTTTCTGCAAGAGCATGTATTATTTGACAAAGAAGGAAAAAAATGAGGGAAACCCTCAATGAGATGGATTGACACAACAGTCACAACAGTGGACTCAAACACACCAACAATCATGAAGGTAGTACAGGACTGGGCGACGTTTTGTTCTGTTATACGTAAGGTTGCCATGTGTCAAACCAACTTGATGGCAACTAACAACAACACAGAAGAGGGGCCAGCAGGAGGCTGTAGGCAGGAGTACGCACCCAGCTCCTCCAGGGAGGGCACACCATAGGTTTCGTCATGGTTCTCCTGGATTTCGGCCCTGCAGCTCTCCATCTGCTGGCTGGTCACCGAGCCCACCGGCTTCTTGGGGAGCTCCATGCGGCTGATGATGGCCTGAAAGCGCTTGTAGGTAAGGGGTGGCTTTTGCCCGTTCAGCTCAATGATCCTGGGAATTCCAAAGCACATGTGGCATCACTCACAAGGCCTTGTTTTGGGGCCTGGCCCACCCAAAAAAGAGCCCAGACTTGGAAGGCTCTGAGGTGGCTTTCCTCATCCGCTCGTGGGTCCTGTCCCTAAGTGGGAAGGAGGGGGCAAGGGAGGCCGCGTCTCCATTTTACCAAAAGGGAAAATGAAGCCCAGAGAGCTGGTGCAGGTGCCTCAGGTAATGGAGCAAGGCAGGGCCAAAGCTGGGGCTCAAGTCCAGGTTCCCTGGTGTCCACGTGGAGCCGCCTAAAGACAGAGACTGGCTATATCTCTCTAATCGCAGATAAATCCCCACTGGCCTTCTTCGTACTCAGCCTATTCATCCAAGCCGCAGGGTGACTGGGCCTTCCTCTCTCCCCCAGCGTGGGCCTTGGAGGACACGCTCTGAGAAGAGCCGTAAATGTGTTCCTTTCAGGGAAAATCATTCCCTTCCTGCCCCCATTTACTAGAACAGGGAGGATGAGAACAGCCTGTCCCTAATCAGATACCGGGGCTGGGAATGTTAATAGTAGCAGCTAATGCTTTGCCGCTTACAAAGTATTTTTCATGAGCAGAGGAAACACAGCTACACTCACGCAGGAAGGAAAGATATAGGAAGGTGAAGAGCCAAATTGAGGTTATTTATATAAGAATGAATTGGGATGGTAAGCAGCCAGATTCCTGGGGCTCTTGTTGGCTGAGAAGTAGTTACGCAAGACCTGGCTGGCTGGGTGAGTTCATTTCTCAGTTCCTTCTCTCTCTCTCTCTCTTCCTAGCAGAGATACAAGGTTGGCTGCTGCCCTGCAGTACCTCCCCCTCCTCTGGCATGTGGCAGGAGGAGGAGCTCCACACACAGCATCTCCTCCTGAGGACCAGCTCACGTGCACAGCTGTGTGACCTGGCCTCCCTGCAGTCACCACTGGGCGGGAGAGGGGGTGGGGAGCGTGGTGGCTGCTGGCTTGGCAGCAGCAGCAGCAGGAGGAGGGTGACAGAAGGGTTGGAGAGGGTTTCCTCCTAGACTGAAAGCACAGAGGCCTGCCGCCAGGGGAGGCAGCTGCTCTGTAGTTAGCAGCTCCTGACAGGGATGGTTAGGGCCTCCTAAGCCACGTGGAAATACAGGGCCTGGAAATCCAGATGGCAGGAAGCCCAGGAAACTCATGCTAGGCACAGAAACTGGGCCTATCAGAACAAAGATCTGTCGGCAGGGATAACAGACAGGGTCCACTGAGTTCACAGGGCAGCCTTTGAGGCGCGGGACGGAGTGGGAGTATAAGGCGTAGATGGGACTGCAGCTATATTTGGAGCAGGTCTATGAAGATCCTTAAGACAGGATCTCACTGCTTCCATTCCTGGGGCCTAACAAGGCTTTGCCACCCAAAGAGGGTAAAGCTCTTTGTGACCTGCTCTACAGGCCCCAACTCTAGCCCATTCTCTCCAGCTTCTAGAAAATGCCATACCTCATCTGCCAGGTAGCCTACTGCTGAACCTCCTCAAGTTCTACTCAGCAGGGGCCCAAATCACCAACCCTCACAACTGGCCCCCTGACCCCTGGGACCCATCCCTCACCTGTCTAGGTCATAGAGGGTATGAGAGTTCTCAGTCACCACCTCCACACCAGCCTCCTTGGCCATCTTCATGATGGCTGCATCCCGTTCTTTCCCAAAGGGTTCGGAGTCATATTCGAAGGTCAGGCGAGTCACCCCCCATTCCTGTGGGGACAGAATCTGTTATGCTCAGCACTGGATTTGGGGGGAGAGGGAAGCAGGCACTCAGCTCCTTCCTAGGGCAGAAAAGAGTAGGTCTAGAGACTCGGCAGAACGGGCTGCAGAATGACCAAGAGACAATGATTTGAATGGGAAAGCAAACAACCTGTGGTTCATAAGGTTTGAGGAGGGCAGGCCAGTGGGTGAGGCCAGCAGTACAGAACAGTGCTTCTGAGGGAACTGGTCTCTGTGAAACCAGGAAAGAGGTAGGCTGCCCTATGATGTACCTGCAGCGTCCTTGCAGGAGGACAATGCAGCATGAGCTATAAATACAATGCTCCCAGGGGAGCCCCCAGTCCCAGAAAGAGGCACTGACTCACTGGTGGAGACATCGGGGGAGGGGACCACCACCTCCTGCCTGCTTGGCGAGCCTTCCCCAGCGCTTCTCACGGCCCTGCAAACTTGTGGCCTAGTTTTCTTGGCAGACTTGGATGTGAAGTGTCCTAATGGTTTCCACAGCAACACTCCTAAGGCCAGTGGCAGACAGAGGTAATAAAGCTCCAGCTCTCAGAGCTGGGGAAGGAGGAGGGAACTGTGTTACAGGGGTCAGAGAATTCAGAGACTACAGGGGCTGCATGTCAAAAAAGGGAATTCTTTTCCAAGCTCACAGTCATCTGTGGTAGGAATTTCTAGACCTCTCAGCAATACTGGGAGCCCTGGTGGCGCAGTGGTTAAGAGCTTGGCTGCTAACTAAAAGGTCGGCAGTTTGAATCCATGAGCCACTCCTTGGAAACCCTACATGGAAGTTCTACTCTGTCCTATAAGGTTGCTATGAGTCAGAATCCACTCAGTGGCAATAGGTTTGGGTTTTAGCAATGCTGGGAGGGAGCTGGCCTGGTGAAAGGCTGTACAGACAACCCAAAGAAAGATCCCGAGCATGGAACCAGCAAGACGCAAAACACATTCCAGCCAAAGTCTCTGGTCCCTTAAAGCTCTGAACCCCTGGACAAAGGTTCTGGCTGTGCAGAGACTGGCCTGGGGTATGTATGGGTCCTGAGCAGGGCTGGTATCCCAAGGATAAGAGCAGTAAACATTTACTGAGCCGGCACTATGAGCCAGTTCATATAGATTACATTGTTAAATACTCATAATAACCCTGTGAATAACAGTACTATTATGAGATGACACCTCCTTCAAGAAGCCTTCCTTGACTTCCTCCTTCAATACGATCCTCCAGCACCTTGCCCTTTCTCCATCCAGCAGTGATCACCTGGCAATGAAGCTGCCATTACTGGCCTGTTTCCCGACTAGTGTGTGAACTTTCAGAGCAGAAACCACACTGTTTCATTGACCATGACCCTAGGACCTAGTATTGGGCCTAGGACATACTAGGAGCTCAGTTAATAGATGTTGGAGAATTGAATGAATGAGCTTTCTGCATCTCTGGCTATAACAGGGCTGGCCTCTGAGGTGCTGAGGACAAGGGGGACAATGTGGTGGGAGAAGGGAGGTGAACGTCTTTATATGGTATGGTGGTTAAGAACACACTCTGGAGTCACAGAGCCTTGGGCTCCATCCTAGACCAGCACTTGTTAGCCTCATGACTGTGGGCAAGTTATTGTTTCCTCATCTGTAAAACAGGGATAAGAGTACCTATCTCTTAGGGCTGCTGTGAGGAATACGTGAGTTAACTCATAGTCAGCCCTCAGTGAAGGTTAGCTATTATGTATTGTGTAATTTGTGTAATATGTACGTGTGTGTATGGGGGGAGGGGTGAAGTGAGTGATGGAGTGTTTACTAAGCTGTCTGCTTTGCCACGAGACCCTTACTTCAGCCTTTACCCCAGGAAGAGCAGGGAAGGATGCTGGATTGGACAGGAGCATAAAAGCAATCATGTGCTGTGGAGGCTGAAGGGAGACTGTCTGAGAGCCCTCTGTCCGTGAGTATTTTGCCTCTATTTGGGCTTTCAGACGTGCTTTTTAATGGGGCTGGGGGAAAAGCGGCTGGCCACCTGATACAGCAAACGAAGGTCTACGTGGTACCAAAATGAAGATTTTATCAATCATTTACCCGGAGAAGCAGGACACTCCTTCTGAAAGGCTGACTTTTCTTTTTTTTTTTTATTCCCCATAAATAAGCAAGACAGGAAACACCCCTTGCTAAACAGGAAACCCCACCCTCAAACTCCTGGCATAGAAAGAGCCCTAATAAATCTTGCTGGCTTGAGCCAAGTGAACAGCTAAGGAAGTCAGTGATATCCAGGGTGGAATGACTTGCCACATCCCATGTCTGGACTGAGCTGGGCGCTTTCCAACAAGACGCTGATTTCACAGAACTTTTCCCTTAAAAGTTTCTATGCTGGCGCCAATGTGACCAGCTGCCTTTGCTCCCAACTTCTCTAGCAGCCTCAACCATTTCCATTTCCCCAGTCAGAATATCACATTGTTCATCTGTGGGGACCCTTGGGAAGCAGACTCTTACTGTCTTCTCTTGGCCTTGAGTACACACTCACCTTGAACAGCCTTGGGAACACGTCAGCAGGCTGGCCCCGGACTACAAACAGGCGGGAGTTTAGTTTCCTTAAACTTCTGTCCAAATCTTCCAGAGACTGAAGCAGAAACCTGCAGAGGCCACGTAGGCCTAGTTAGTGGTAATACAATCAAGAGTAGCTCTCTTTCCTAACAAAGCAGGGAGAAACTGGCCCACTGTGCAGCCAAACAAGTAGCATCACCCACGCTAGGGTGGAAGGCCTGGGGTCTAGCCCAATAGTGAGAAGGTAGTGGATTAGTGCTGCCTTGCTCAAATCCTGGCTTTGCCTCCTACTAGCTGTGTGACCTGAGGCAGTTACTTAACCTAGTTAGCCTGTTTTCTCATCTGTAATATGAAGTTAAGAGTTAGTACCTATCTCTTAGAATTGCTAAGAAGAAGAAATCCAACAATGCATGAAAAACATTTAGCCCAGTGCCTGGCCCATAGAAAACTCTGGAAAAGTACGAGCTCCTCCTACTGCTGCTGTTTCCATGGGATCCTAGTCAAGTCACTAATTCTCTCTCAGCCTCAGGCCCTGTATGTAAATATCTGCCCATTAAACGCTTGTTGTAGGATGGGATGAAAAAGCCAGCTGATAAAGGCGAGGCTGTGGTACAGAAGCATTAAGGTCCTATTAGCAAAGGAACAAGACTGCAATAAAAAACCAAAACCTGCTGCCAAAGAGCTAATTCCGACTCATAGCGGCCCTAGAAGACAGAGCAGAACTGCCCCATAGGGTTTCCAAGAAGCGGCAGGTGGATTTGAACTGCTGACCTTTTGATTAGCAGCCAAGCTCTTAACCACTATGCCACCAAGGCTCCAGAGGAACAAGACTGTAATATCCATTGCCATCGAGTCAAATCCGACCATAGCCCTGGTAAATCCCACCTACCCTGGTCCAACAGACTGCGTGCCTTTCTGGATTCACATCTCTGGGCTGCGCGTATTTCTCCTGCTACAGCCTGGGCTGAGTCCCTGTACCTGTGTTTTCCCAGACCTTGTCTGGCATGTGGTTCACTCTCCATATCTCTCCAGGGCTCTGGCCACAGGTTCTCATCCCAAGAGGAGAGGGCCTAGAAGAACCTTCTTGATAGGATACCCTCATAGGATACCTCACATGTTGGGCGAGAGGCAATAGGGTGCTGTGGATCTCAATAGCTTTAAACCAGAGAGGAGTACCACTTTGAGCTTGTATCACCAGGAAGAAGAGAAGGACGTTAACATTTGCTGAGTACCTTCAGTGTTTTACTTTACTTTTAAATTAAATTAAATTATGGTCAGACCTGTAACCGATCATGAGGATGGAGCAGGACTGGGGAGCATTTTGTTCCACTGTGCATGGGGTCACCATGGGTTGGGGGCTGACTCTATGGCAGCTAACAACAACAGTACTTTAAACAGGTAACTATTCATATGGTTAAAATTTCAAGTTACAAAATGGTACACATAAAACATCTCCGCCCCCTGCTTCCCCAGGAATTTAATTCCCCTCTCCAGAGGCAACCAATGTTATCAACGTTATTATGTAGTTGTTATGCATTTCCTCATTTAATCCTCTCAACAAATTTTGAAGGGAAATGTTATTATCTTCATTTTATATATGAGGAAACTAAGCCCAGAGAGGTTCACTAATCTGCCTAGGGTCACAGCTATTAAGTGACAAAGCTGGGACAGGAACCTAGGTTCGTCAGGCTCTGTGCCCCATTCCCAAAGCCTTGTAGGCACACCAAACACTGCTGTAGGTGCTGGGGTTTTGTAGAACCTCCTGTATTTGCGATCTGCTTCCCCGGCAGATGCAAACCTGACTACAAGTAATCCACTGACATTCTTCCCTTCCACCTTGGGAACTAAGAGTGACAGGTCGGCCTGCATTTCCAGATACTGCTGCGGCACCTCCATCTACCCTCTGGTGTTGCCCACCCATCCAGCCCCACCGACTTTATCTCTGTCAGCAACGGGAATCACCACATTTCATCCTGAGCATGAGGAAGCCCAACGGGTGACCTTCCACAGCACAGCACAGCACATCCCCTGACTTGCAGAGGCTGCCACGGTTCCCAGCTGCCAGCCAGAACCAGCCCCCGCTGCTGCCCCTGACATACAGAACCTGCTGCACTCCCATGATGGTGAAGGCCACACGCTCACATTCCAGCCTGAGCCGAGTCCAGGTTCAGCCCAAAGCATCGTGCAAGCTACAGAGCACCAGAGCACGCCGGAGCCTCCCCAAGGGGTTGCAATGAGAGGCTCTGATGTGTCCAACACTGTTTTATACAAATCGGTTTCCTCATCTATTGACTGCCTCCGTCAATTTCTGTTTTTGAAAAACTGACACCCCCAGAAAAGGAAAAAGGAGACAAGAATGATACATTTGTGTTGGCCTCCTCTGAGGTCTCACCATGTCTCCCAGAAGGAAAAGAATAAAGACACACGTAAACAGCCTCATGCCACCCAAGACCTGGGCCCTCCCAGGTAGAATGCCTGCAGATGACTGTGGCAGTTCAAATTCCACAACCCCAGGATGGGGGGGGAAGGGCCTCCATCTGTGCTCCAGGAATGTCCTTGCCATGCCTTGGGGGCCTCTTTCCTCACAGCCCACCAGACTGCAGTGGGGTTAGATTTGAAGCTATAAATAAGGTTGAAACGGCACATGAACTCTAGACTCCAGAACACAAAGTGAGCTGCCTTCTAGAGAACTTTATTTCTAGACCTCATTTACTAAAAGGGGAGATTCTTTGCAGCTTCTCTGAGGGACAGACAACTCCATGAGAGCCCTCTTCTTCTTTGGCAAGAGATGTTGCTAACTAGGCAGGAAGCAGAAAGCCCACCTCTGAACTCAGCAACTAAATAATAATAACAACAGCAGCTAACATTTTATGAGCGCTTACAACGGAGCCCTGGTGGCACAGTGGTCAAGAGCTTGGCTGCTAACCAAAAGCTCAGCAGTTCAAATCCACCAGCTGCTCCTTGGAAACCCTATGGGGCAGTTCTACTCTGTCCTATAGGGTTGCTGTGAGTCGGAATCGACTCCACAGCAACGGGTTTGGGTTTTGGTTTTCTACCATGAGCCAGGCACTGTTCTACTTGTTTTACATACATTACCTCATGTAATTCTCACAACAGCCATATGAAGCAGATACTATTATTCCCATTTTATAGGTAAGGAAACTGAGGCACAGAGAGGTTAAAGAATTTACCCAATATCATACACCTAATACCAGTACCAGTTTCTGTCAAGTCATTCCAACTCATGGTGACCCCATGTGTGCCAGAGTAGAACTGTGCTCCACAGAGTTTTCAATGGCTGATCTTTCAGAAGCAGATCACCAGGCATTTCTTCTGAGGTGCCTCCAGGTGAACTTGAACCTCCAATCTTTTGGTTAGCAGCCAAGTGTGTTTAACTATTTGTACCACCTAGGGACTCATTCATACACCAATTAAGTGGCCAGAATTCAAATCTATGCAGTCTGGCTCAGAGTCTGTGTTCCTGACCACTGGGTTCCACTGTCTCTCAACCAAGGCTTAGCCATCAGGGAGCGTCACGAACCAACTCAGATGCCAACACCTTTGCTGCCAGACCCTTGCTACTTGAGTGTGGTCTGCAGATCAACAGCTTCAGCCTCACCCAGGAGCTTGCTGAAATACAGTTTCAGGCTCCCTCTCAGACCTCCGGAATTAGAATCTACATTTTAACAAGATCCCAGGTGATTTATTTGCACACAGAAGTTTCAGAAGAACTGCTCTAGAACACTGAACTTTATTTCTAGCTTGTTTACAGGTTGACTTTCTTTGGCTTCTAACGTGTTTCTACTAAACTTTCCCTCTTTGAGCTCCTGGTTTCTGCCTCCTCTTTGGTCTCCTGCTGCTTCCTTCTTCTCTCCAGAGGAAAGCACTGCAGGGCTTCTATGGGAAGCCAGGGCTCAGGCTGGCCCCCACAGAAGGCAACCCGAGAGGGGTCCCAGCATCCCCATCCTCCAGGCAGCCAGAGAAAGAGAACCCGTTTTGAAGTCTGCCCAGTGACAGCTTGGCAGAACAGCAAAGTAGCCTGGAGCAGAGCTGCTGCAGGCAAATGCTCACTAGGGCAGCATTCGTTCGCATTCTTTCTACCAGAGAGAACCTTGAGCCTCCTGTGCCTCTGCAGCACACTCCTCCTCCATGGCCAGTTTCTATTTACTCCAACGAGGCGGGGCTCTAAAGAAAGCTGGCCTGAGCATTGGAGGTGCTGCTGCTAGGGCTGGCACCTCACCTTTGGCCACTGCAAGCTGAGCTCACATGGCTCACATTGGGAGCACACAGTCCTTCCTGTGTGGGCAGTTAAAGCTCACCGCTCAGATCAGACAACATGTGCAGCTGAATTACATTACGTAAGTGCGCTGGAGCCAGGGGCAGACAGAACTGGACAAAATCAAAATGGGATTTCCAAAAATACAGAGAGGATTCTAATTCAGGGACTCCACAGGGCTAGCCCTTTAGGATAAAACACGCAGATCTTTCTTGGTTAAGGATTTCTATTTAGGAAAGGCCTTCTCTAGGGATGGCAGGTTCTGTGTTGAGGAATATTTTATTTGTTGTTAATGGGGGAGAGGTGATAAACTCCTTTTTTTGGATTCAGATCTGCCCTTGACCTAGTTCCTCTGCTTCAAGCCAGGGTTATTTAACCATAATGACAACACTACAATCCAACTCAGGCTGGCTACGAAGGATGTAAACAGATACTGGTTTCTCCTAAAGAATTAAGAGGGCTTCCCCTGGGAAGAAGCCCTGGTGGCACAGTGGTTAAAGTGTTCGGCTACTAACCAAAGGGTTAGCGGTTCAATCCCACCAGCTGCTCTGTGGGAGGAAGAAGTGGCAGTCTGCTTCCATAAAGGTTTATAGCCTTGGAAACCCTACAGGGTTGCAATGAGTCAAAATCAACGACGGCAATGAGTTTGGGTTTGTTTGTTTTTTTTAAAAGCCCTGTGGAAGGAGCCCTCATGGCGCAATAGTTGGTGATTCAAACCTACCCAATGGCTCCGTGGGAGAAAGACCTGCCCATCTGCTTCAGTAAAGATTATAGCCTAGAAAACCCCATGGGGCTGTTCTATTCTGTCACGTGGGGCTGCTGTGAGTTGAAAATCGACTTGACAGCACCCAACAACAACAAGCCCAAAGGAAAGGGATAATCCAAACCCACAAACCATGGCAAAGATTGATCTCTGAGTTATCATTCAGATAGAAATAATCTCAAAGAGGAAGATGAAGATGAAGGTTTTCATCCCTGTCCGGCCAACAAACATTTCCTCAGCAGCAGAACGGTAAAGTGACTTGCTTGGGTACCAATGTGAATAGCTCAGAGAAACTAAAATTTCCCCACCGGAAGACTGGAGTTCTCAGGCCCCTTCTCACTGACCAGGTTCCAAGAAAGAACCACCCACGATGACAATCCAGCAGTGCTTAGCACCTAGCATTTGGGAAGAGAGACACACTTTTCACTAGGCCTCCTGGGGAGTTCCCATTTCTCTCCATTTACTAATTGTGAGCTAAACAGCTGAACAAGAACCCATTAGTTAGTTAGTACACATTTCTACCAACTCCCTCTGTCCCAGTGGCTCCTGACTGCTGGTACAGCCCAGAGCCAGGTACAAAATGATTTGAATAAAGAGTAAGTATTGTTGTCAACACCTACACAAGTTGCACTAGGGTGAAAGAGGTAATGAAAAACTGCAAAAGCCTATTTCAAGTATCCATTTTTTAAATCTAGAAGCTGCTCACAGCTTCCTTTTTTGGGGTTCTGGCTGCAATACCTCCTAGGTTTGGGGAAGATATTGGGGTAAATGGCAAAGGACTTAGCCAATTGGTGCTTTAAAAAAAAGTCCTAAGGCTCATATAGCCCATAGACTTCCTACTATCACCAACACAGGGGCAGTGGTGGTTCAGTGGTAGAATTCTTGCCTTCCACGCAGGAGACTTGGGTTCAATTTCCGGCCTATGCACCTCAAGTACAAAAACCATCTGTCTGTTAGTAGAGGCTTGTGTGTTGCTGTGATGCTGAACAGGTTTCAGCAGACCTTCCAGACTAAGACAGACTAGGAAGAAAGGCCTGGTGATCTACTTCCAAAAATCAACTGGTGAAAATCCTATGGCTCACAATAGTCTGATCTCATTATGCATGGGGTCACCATGAGTCAGGGCCAAAGCAAATACACATATGTCTTTGTTGCCTTTCTTTGTCTTCTTTTACTCTTAAAGTGCCATTCATGGCTATTTTCATCTGATTTCATCTGCAGAAAAATGCAGAAGGGTAAAAGAGATCACAGATTCAGATTCCCGCCTCTCTTGCAAATGGCTCTGGGCCCACCCTTCCCAGGGAGGTTCCTCAGATGCAGCAATTCATGCAGTTGCTAAGACACTATGCATGCAGTTGCTAAGACACTATGCTACAGTACATTTCTCCCAGACCACTCCTAGATCCAAAATCAGCCACTGGAAGATTACACATACTGTAGTCATGCAGAGGTATGGCTCCACCACTTCCCCTAACGCCCAAATGTGTGCACAGACCCCTACAGTAGCTCTGCCGCTCCCTCAGTCCCGTAAGGAGCAAACAGTCTGGTGAGGGTGGTAGGAGTGTCTGTTCCCAGGCCCCAGAAGCAGTTACCGTATTCGATCTGTTCTGTGTTATTTCACCTCTTTCTTCTGAATGCCAAAACGAATCAGACTTTCTGCCAGCGCACAGCAACACATTTCCCAGGTTGTCTGGCTCAGGTCTGTGGTTCTCTAGTCCTTTCTCAAGCTTTGCTGCACAGGAGAGATTTAAAAGCCCCGATCCCAGACCATATCCCAAAACAATGAAATCAGAATCTCGGGGGTGGGGGTAACCCAGGTATCTTTTAAAGATCCTTAGGTGATTCCAATGTGCAGCCAAGACTGAGAACCACTGCTCTTATTCAGCCCCGGTTTATTTTCTTCATGGCACTTAGTTCTGCTGACTTATGGATGTTTACTTGTCTTCCTCCGCTAAAATGTAGCTCCAGGGGCTCCGGAGGCACAGACACCACATCAGCTTGTCCACAGCTGTATCCCTACCAGCACCTAGAGCAGGGTCTGGCAGATATTAAACCAAATCAAATCTGTTGCCATCGAGTCGATTCCAACTCATAGCAACCCTATAGGACAGAGCAGAACTGCCCCATAGGGTTTCCAAGGAGCAGCTGGTGGATTCGAA